CATAATAGGCTGCAGTGATACACTGCAGAGGTCATCAATCTTCAACAAACCTTATCTCCCAAGGCAGTGCTTTTGCAGATTTACAAGCAAAGTTAGCAGCACAATTCCCTTGACCTCCTTGGTTTCTCCCTCTTATTCCCAAGAGCTTTCCTGTTCCTTTATATTCACAAGCAGAACTACAACTTCTCACAAAACCTAACTACACTGGAAACTCCAAGGGATGGATTTTCAAGGGTCAAAACTAATGCTACTAGAAGGCCAAACCAAACAAATCCTATCAGATCTACACAACTTTTTCATGATGGAGCTTCAACGTTACACAGACTACTAGATCCAATAATTACATGTAAACATCATCTAAAAGTCATACAAAAACTAACCCTCAATTGTCAAATTTGCCAAGACATCTCTGCAGGATCATATGCCCCCTCCACATTTTCCTGCTCATTAGTTCCATGAAAATACAGCAGGCCAAGACTGGCAAATAGATGTCACACATATGCCCAGATACAAACACATAAAATACCTGCTTACTTTCATATGCACCTTCTCAGGTTGGATAGAGGCCTGACCTACCACCAGAGAGATAACAGACGTAGTTGCCAATACCTTACTCTGAGACAGCGTTCCTAGATTTGGACTCTCACAATACATGGAATCTGATAATGGCCCAGCCTTCATCTCTCAGATTGCACAAGTGTCCTCTAACCTTAATATCACTTGGGAACAACACATACCCTATTATCCACCATTGTCTCATAAAGGCACACCTGATCGAACTCCTAATAGAACTAAATCAATGATGACCACAACCTCTACCTCTAGCCCTTACAAACTGCGAGCCTTACCCAGATCACCCACTCAACTAAACCCATTTCAGCTCTCGTATGGTGGACCCTTTGTCTTACAAAATCTACCCTCACTCACTGAGAATCCTCCTTTAGCTAATTAAATCCCAGTTCTCTCAATCCTCAGACACTTTCTTCGCCAACACCCAGACTTACGCCACCCCCAAGTCTCTGAGGGCAAATCTCCAGGGGACCTAATCTATATTAAAACTCTTAAGTCCACAGGTTCAAGCTCAGCTCTTCAAGCAAAGTGGAACAGATCTCATCTGGTATACTTGGTGACTCAACCTGTGATAAAGTTAGCAAGATGTATCCAACCCAGGAAAAGACATCACAGGAAGACAAATCCCAGGGACCTCCCAACAGGTTCATTATGTCTCCCAAAAGCTTGTGCCCTGGCTCCTGTTTTAACATCTATTGGTATCACTGCCATTATTGGGGTGGTAACAGTATCGGTTCAAGTGGTCCAATGGGATTTTACAAAAATAATGACAAATATATTAATGCCTCCTCTAATCTTAAACCTGACAGATTCACAGACAGATGACTTTTGTTCACTATAAAAGACCCTCTCAAATTCTCAGCTGCTCAAAGATAGGGTTTTCAATTCACATGCAGCCACCATGAGGGTACCAGTTCTTTACCGTAAAAAGACATTAATCCGAAGGCTTACTCCTGTTCCTCTCCTTATGCCTCAAGACCCAAAGAAAGTATAAACAAAACTAAATCAGTTTATTTCACCAACCACTACCGAGATTCTCAATATGACTTACACTTTGCTCCAAAAGAGGACCATTTATTCACACACTACTTGTTGGCTATGCTTGCCTTTTTCAGCAGACATCTACATGGTTCAGCCTGTAATATTTAGCCAATCAAATCTCAAACCAAACACAACCTCATATCCAGTTGCTGGCCTTCTCCAGATAGCTCCAAATCAGCCCTGGCATGTAATCTCACCTGCATACAATCCACTCTGAGAGACTCTAACCATACCAATGCACCCAACCCCCTTCCTGATCTCTGTGAGCTATTTTGGGGGGACCTAGTGGCCTGTACCCATTACATCATTAATCCTCAAAGACAGACTCTACAAACATCCTCCCCCAAACACCTTTTTCATTTGTGGCAATGGAGCATACTCCCACCTCCCCGCATATTGGACCAGCACATGCACTGTTGGATTTTTAACACCACATGTCTCTCTGTAAGAGAAATAAAACTCTCACATACGATCAAACATTAAATATCACTCAAAACCACAGAACCATACAGTTAGTTTCAATATCGGCAGGTATTTGGGTCTTTGCAGCTATTGGGATGGGAACAGGATGGTTGGGAACAAGCTTCAGCTACTATTCTACATTATCCCATGATCTAGAAAAGACTGTAACATCAGCTTCCCAAAGCATTAATTCACTGGAACATTAAATCAACACTTTTGCAATGGTAGTCCTTCACAAGACAGGTCACTTGAATATCCTCATAGCAATACTGTACTATGCTAGGAGAAGAATGCTACTACTTTCCCAACTAATCAGGTATAGTCAAAGATCTGGCACAAAAAGTCAAAAAATTAGCAACTGACATATGAGGGAAGTAATATTTTCCAGAAGCCACCCCTTGGTCTTCATGGTGGGACTCCTTCGGGTCCGGGGCTACCATTTAATGCCCATTATGGGTCCAATAATTACCATAGTAATTTTTTTTTTACTCTTTGTACCCTATGTCTTTAGGCTCCTCTTGTGATTTATCCAAGCCAGAATACAGGAAATCACTATTAAAGAAATCCTATTACTGAGAGACATCTCTGTTTCACAGACTCAGATGTAACAGACCCCTTAGTCCCATTCTGTTCTACCCTAGGCCCCAACAATGCTACTTCTCTGCAGGAATCAGCCAGAGAGATTCCACAGTGACCCGTAACATGAAAGAGATTGGACACAGCACAATCATTATGGCAAAAGTTCAAAGCTGTGCCTTGATAATGCATACCTCCTTCTTCCCAGAAGCCCTTATGACTTCTCCCACCCAAAAGTCTACAAAAGCTCAGGAATGTAAAAATTTACCCAATTCACTGCACTCCCACAAAATACATCAGCTCACATCAATCCGCAGAGCTCTACCCCCATTAGAGGCTGTATCAGGCAGAACCTGCCCTTTGTCTGCAGGGAGAGCCACAACACCCTTATGTGTGGTGACTTCTTCCATGCCCTCCTAATTAAACTCTTCTTATCTACTTGCCTCCTCTGTTTTAACATTCTGTGTTGCCCTAGATTGAGTACAAATCACTCAATCAATACGTATCTTGATAGTCTTTACTAATGAGGCTTGTTTCCCTCTCATTATTTAAACTTTTTTGTCCTATGGCTAGAAGAATGAAACTATTAACAATCATTAATTTAAATTGTTTATTGGGCTTCAGATAAGATATACATAATGTTGAAGAATTATCAGATCAACATTTTCATAGTGTTGAACCATATTCAGAGTGTATTTATTGTACAGCAATTATGTACCTGCCGTAATTTTTCAAAAGGGAGGCATTCAAAAGTGCCAATGGCATTTTTTCCTCATATTTCAGAAGAATTATCATGGAATGATATTGGGAAGTCCTCTCTACTCACATGACCCTATCATTTGGTCTCCCATATTCTTTTATTAACTTTGTAACATAAAATATATCCAACTTAGCAAATGGTGGTATTCTAATTGAGTATATTCATAATAATATATCATTCCTATTGATCATGCTACATATATATTTGATTTTGTTGAGAGTAAGGATTTCAGTTTTCATAATTCTTAAAGAAGGACTGCACAGAGGAGTACTTCTCAAATTGTAGAGGAGTGAGCACCACATGTCCTACCTCAGTGAACCAAGTGCAAATCTGTAAAGGCACACCACACACTGAGAAAAATTCATAAGCAACCACACAAGCCTCTGTAAGACCAGTGAAGATGATGAGAATTTAATGTGGGAATGTGCTCATCCCTTTTCTGGCTGCATCATGAAATCTGATGGGGACCACCAGACTTGTTGCCATAAGAAAGCTACGTACAATTTAGAATGCACAGAAAGATTCCATGTGCAGAATGGTTGTAGCAACAGTAATCAGTGGGAAAAGCCAAAGGGCAACATAACGGCTGCCAGATGCTACAGTACTGGCTGAGACAAAGATCAAACCAAGCACCACTTGGCAAAGACATCTGAAAGATAAACTAGCCATATAGAACTTTGATAAACTCCCAGTCATTTCCAGAAGTTTGAGTGCCTGTACACACACACACACACACACACACACACACACACACACACACGGACACAACCCTAAGGAGAGACCAAAGGGAACTACAGTTAATATATCCACATATCCTGATTATACATGAGAACTTGCGGGAAAGAAAGAGGGAGTGAGAGGACAGATGAAGGAAAGAAATAAACTGCTATAAGCTTAAAAGAGGTGGTGGTAGTTATTAGAGACATCAGTGACTACAAACGGTGTACAAAACATGTCCAGGCAGAGAACTGACAAAGACAAAGAATACTAAATGAGCACACAGTAACACAAACAATATACCAAGATGCTTAACTTGATGAGTCTCATACTGAAAACTATTTCTATTCAGCAATGAAAAGGACAGCTTGGATTAAAGTCTCATATCATTTTTATTGTTTTGTTTTGTTTGATTTTATATCTGATGGCATAAAAAGCTATTTCAAAGACAACATGTTTTATTATGGCAGCCATTGTTGAAGTTCTCTTAACTTGTTTTGAAACCTTATATCACTTTCACTGTTTTATTTTTTTGGTTTCATTCCCTTTAATAAAAAATAGACTAAGTTGCATTTTTCTTCAAAATTCTATGATGGACATGAGTCAACTATAAAAAGGATACTAGAGTTTCTCAGTTAAGTTATTCATGTAAATAAAAAAAAAGAACATCAGTGTTTTAAATGTGCCAACAGTATCAGAGAGAAAACTAAGGGAAAAACAAAAACATGATAGTTAATCTAAACTCATATGGTGGTTTATATTTATTTGTTTATTTTCCCATTAAGTATATATTGCATGTAGGAAAGGCACCCTTGTCATGGTCCTTACCCTCAAACAGCTTAAAATAAAAAGAGGAAGGAAGACCTGGGTAACAGCAATTCAGGCAGCAACAGAGGGACGCTTGAAACAGAGTGCAGTTGAAGGGCTCACTGAGCCCATAAGAAAGAAAGGCTGCTTCATACACAAAGGTCAATAAGGTCTCTGGACAAAGTGAAATCAGGAATAGCAATCAAGGGTTTAATACAACTGACAAAAACAGAGGTGCTATCCTGTCAAGTTTCATAATCTGGAACAAATTAACAAGTAATTAGTATGAAAAAAGAGAAGCAACTCAAACATATTGTAGAAAGGGTGTCATCACCATGCTGTCCAAAGCCCTTGGGAATTTGGCTTCTTGTTAGCAAGGCAGAGGCTGGAGAAGTCATCTCATGGGATACCCTGATATGAGCTGTGGAAAAATGGGAGAAACACTAGATAAATTGAAGCCTGTGGTATTTTTGATACATTTTGTCAACTTCAGAAGTTTAGTAGTATAAGGATCTCAGCAGGGAACCAGGGCCTTTAATTTCCAAACAAGAGGAAGGCAAAGAGACTTTATGAGTGCTACTCCCACCCTGGAGGTGGTGGCCTGTGTAAAACACAAGGGAGGAAAACAGGCTGGCTCTTTACCTTTATTTTTCTTTCGCCACTTTTTCTGTCTTTAGCTGCTTTAAATTGTTGCCCCCTGTCTTAGAACCAGCTGATTATGGACTGAAATCTCCACACATTGCGAGGTATATAAACATACATTTCTTAATTTGGGGTGTTGGGTATTTTGACTCAGCAATGAGAGAAAAGTATACAAGATAGATGGCAAAAGAAAAGCTAACAAATATAGCAAACATGGAACAAAAAGTGGCAGGTAAGGAATAAATACAAAGAACTCACCAACGTTTCTTACACAATAATACAAGAACTATCAGAAGCACCAGGGGCACTATCACTGCAAAGGTGATCAAGATCACAGAGAGGCCATGTCCTGTGGTACGGGAAATATACATACATGTCATGTAAAACCTGCTACTGCTTTTACTCTATCCACTAGTCTCCTTGAATAATATATGACTGGCTAAATGCCACAACAATCATCCTGTTACAGTCACTCTATTCCCATTCCTACCCAAAGAAGGATTCTCTGGCTTCCCCAAAATAGCTTGAATCTATGTATTCCCCAAGCCGTATTTCTCCTTTCCTGGAATTACTCATGGTCATGCCTTTTTCACTTCCCTCAACTAAATCTGGCCTCATCAAACCTTCCTCTGTCCTACCTCATGCTCAGGGTCACCCATTCACACCTTCAAACTCCAGTCTTACCCCAATAGAGGATGATGTCTTGGTCTCTCAGGCTGCTGTGCCTCACTCGACAAGACAGCCCAGATGCCTCCTTATCTTCCACATCCAGCGTCACCCGAAGATACCATGTCCCATCAGCATGTGGAAGAATATCACCTTGTTTAGTTTCCAGTTGTTCTTGTGTGCCTCGCATCCACATCACCCAAATAGGCTTTGGGTAGAAACCAGAGACATGACAAGCCAGCAACAGTCGACCAGGCTGGAGGTTGGGACTACTGGACAGCCAGACCTCTGGTCTCACTGCATGGAGAAGAAAGAGAACTCAAAAATGGAAAAATACACAGATTAGGTACACAGATACCCAGGTCAGCATGTAGTTACACTTTGTCCAACTCTAGGAACTACCACCCAGCAGCACCGGTGCCTCTTATCCACTTCCCTGTGCTAAGATTGAAGAGGGTGACAGGAAGAGGCATCACATTAACAGAACAATCTGAGAAGAAAGGGCTAAACTGACCTTGCCTCTGAAGATCCATCTTTGCTCCATCCAGGATACCCAATAGAGAACGGGGGCAGACTTCTCTGATTATATAGTATGCTGTTTCCTTGTAGCCTTCATAAATATTGAGTAAATCACAGACCTTCTGAGCCCTAATCCCACCCTCTGGAAATGGCACCCATGATTTGTTTTGGTAACTCAGGAAATTTAATCCATTAAAAGCTGCATGGAGGAAGTCTTTTGTGATCTTTCCAGAGTGCAGCTCACAGCCAACTCTCACCTGTATCTCAATGGGATCTAGGGGAAGAAAGGAATGAAAATAAGGGGTTAAATGAAGAAAATAAGAGCAATGATGTAAGAATTAAAGGGATTGAGTGGAAACTAATGCAAACAATTTTATGTAGATGTGAACTAAACATATATACAATTAGAAATGAAGGTAGGAAAGTATGCTAGGGATGAAGAATTGGATCAGTAAAAGATAATTATCTTCAATTTACAAGAGACTGACCTGAGCACAGTTTGGAGAAATGATAGGTGATCTCTACAACTTAAGATGTAGGGGGTGGGAGGAACTCTTTTGAAGGAGATGGAAGTGAATTTCAGGATGCATAAAATTTTTCACCACGGTTGATACACTGTGAATGTAAACCTTTTGAGATATTGAAGAGCTGTGTTTTCAGGAAATCAGTTACAGAACTAGACAACTTTGTACATCTGGATTTTGGACCACAGAAGGAGATCACAGTGGAAAGATGATAAAGTTCTGCTAACAAATATTCCTGAAGTAACAAAAGCCTGATAATTTTTAGTATGTATTTGGAATATACACTAACAGACTTATGCATGCACACTTTTATCTTGGAATGAGATAACAGATATGTCCAAGCAAAGAACATGAAATATTTTCCATAAATAGAACCCTCAGGAAATCTCTTAGTTGAGCTGATTGCACTTACATTTGATTTGAAATTGACTGGCTTGTTCCTGAACCTCCATTGTTAGTCCAGAAAAGTAGACACGAAATAGAAGCTGCAGGTCTACTATTTCTTCATTGCTGAAGTTACCCCTGGACCAGGTATGCAGGAAAATTATTGTGCCTGTTTCACTGTCCCAGCCATGAGTCTGCAACTCATCCAGCCAAGCAGAGCCACGATTTTGTGCCCAGGATTGGTTGGCATAGGATGAGATCTGAATTAAGTAAAATGAAATGTTTTGCTGGACCACTATGGAAGGATTTGAATCAGTGCAAGGAAAATGAAAGAGGAAAGAAAGGAGAAAAAGAAGAAAGAAAATGAACCAGTTACTACAGAAAGAAGCATAATGGTCAGCTTACCAATAGCATTTTCCTTACAAAAGACCCCCTGCTCTAACTGGATCCTCAAAAAAAAAAAAAAAATAGAGTACACATGGAGAAAGGTTCTCATACTCCCAGCCTTCCATTTTCCTAAGTGACTTATGTTAAGAAGGCTTGCAACACTCCACCCAGACCCAATCAAATGGACAACTGAGAGAGAGGTCCTTACCATTTTTAGTGATACCACCTCCAAGGACAGCATCCAGAAATAGAAATTGTAGAAACAGCATGTCATCTAAAGATGTCTCCCTTTCTCACCAAAATGTATCCTTTCTATGGGATATAACTTTCTTCTACCAGGAGTGGACCTGTTCCACCAGTTAATGATGATTACCAAGAAAGCCTGAAGCTTCCCTCAACGTTGGGCCTCCTACACAGCCTCTCATTTCCCTTCTATCTAGAACTAGTTATTCTCCCCTTGATGGAATTGAACTGCTCCCCTCTCCACTAAACTCCTTCTTATTTAGAGTACTACATCAACCATTCTTGGAACAAGTGGCATAAGACTTTTAAGGGTCACTTAATTTCTACAGATCTTGTACCTTCTCTATAAAATGCAGAGACATACTTCATACCTTTCTCTGTCCATGCTTGCTTTAACTGATTGCAGTTCTTTCTGTTTTTCCACTTACCTATGCCTCTGAACTCTATAATGTCCCCTCTTCTGGTCATTAAATCTCTCTATAATTTGTATAGCCTCTGTGCATTCTCTTTCCCTTTTTATCCCTTCTTCTCCCAATTTTCTCAGTTCTCAATTCTCATTAGTGTTTTTTTAAATTGCATCTATTTTTGCTTTCAATTGCAGCCATTTATACCAGTCATACTGTACTACATGACTATAGTATGAGTATACTATACTATATTACTATAGCATAGTATGTCTCATGACTCACTATTGAGATTAACCCATATAGTGTGTCACCAGAATAACAACTCATCTGTAATTGATATTAAGTATTTTACTAGGTATAAGAACATACATAGATTATCCATATAGTTTCACTTTTCAATATATTTCAAACAGAAATATTTAAACTGAGAACTAAAAGTCTTTATATTTTCCATTTTAGTGTATACAATACTAGATACAAATATATTTACAAAAATGTTTTCTAGAGAAATCATGCAGCTGCCCAGGTGCATTCTGACTCCCTGAAGTGCCCATAGTATAAAATCCTAGAGGAGCAGCCTGCACTTCTCCCTGAGGACTAACTTCTGTGCAGTGTGCAATTGTAAGTAGCAATAAGCTGCCTATGAGAGGAGATCATAAACTCCAGCATAAGTTAAACTTTGTGATGTGATATATACACTGGCAGAAACCAACATTTTTGTATATTCAAGTATTTAAGTAATCATGAAACATCCTTGGTTGTTAGTAATTCTGTTGCTTACTGTGTATGAATAAATGAAACCAAAATCATTTTGAGACCAGGGCAATACTTCTATTTCTATAGTGTCCCCAAAATAAAATTCGTTGAATGCAGGAATGGGAAAATTTTAAAATCACGTTTATGAGACCCAAGTATCTCTCAGTGAGTCAGTACCACTCAAGGACTGCAGAGGGAGAGAACTAGACACCATGGGCCGAGGTTCTTGCCCAGATACCAGCACCATGCAAGGACCACTGCTGGTGTGAAGAGAACCAGACCCAAGCCTCACTGTGCGGATCAGTGCCATTTGCAGACTGCAGAGGAAGAGAACCAGGCCCTGAGGGAGGAGATTCCTGCCAAGAAACCATATTATTTTCATTGCTTTTTTTGGGAGGGGTATTTTCTTTTGTTTTGTTTATGTTAACTCTGATAGCATGAGCACTTATTTAAAAGATAGCAATACATGGTATGGAAGCTATTATGTATTTACTACTGACTTGTTTTGATGTCCTTTACTGCATTAATTGTTTTGTTTTTATTGTTTGTATTCTATTCTATTCTATTCTGTTCAACTTTTAATATGTGTAAAGGTGGTCTCTGCAGCTATTCTGAAGACAATAAAGGCATTGTGGTAACTATTGTTAATTACATAAGGTTTGGAAATCCTGTGTCACTTGTTATGGTTTATTTTGATTGATTTCACTTTGTTTTATTTTCCTTGGTTATTTCCTCTTTGCAATAAAAAAATTACAATCACATTTGTGACACTATTTCTTTTTTAACTCATTTATTTTATTGTATATATTTACTATGTAAAACAAGATGTTTTAATAAACCAGTATCATACTCAAACTTGTCTGTATTAATAAAAAGGTTAGAAGTAATCTACAATAAACTGTTCCTATTATAGCCAAAAATATCTTCCAGCCTCTATGAGTACAAAGACCTTAAAAAAAGTGTGTAATTTAAATCTTCAAATCATTCTGCAGCACCAGATTTCAGCTTGTCAATGGTAAGTTATTAGTTTGAGGTTTTAAGAAGTAATAGCAGGCACAGTATCTGCTGTTACATGTATTTCTCTTCTCCATAGTTCTACAGGAGGATCACAGTTTTCCTGAGCTCTGGGCTGTGGTATGTAAGATGCTGACACCATGAAACCCCTGTAGACTCAACCATTTCAGATATTCCATTTGATCTTCTTGCTCTGCACTATTGTCTTGTAGTTTGCCTAATTAATTGCACTGTAGTATGCAATTCTAAACTTTGTTTATAACCACCACATAACCTAGCTATACTGCCTAGATTCATAGAATGAGTGGTGGCATCCTTCCTTTCTGCTAAGAACCTAGTATCACAAAGACAACATGAGGTAGATGGAATAAATTATCAGTCTCAATTGTTTCCCTGTATAACCCAGGTGATCTAATTGGGATTGAACCCCATGTGGAGTGATCATACTAACCATTATGTTTGTGATTGTGCGTCTTTCACCAAAACTTATATGTTGATTTCCTAAACCTCATAACAGTAGGATTAAGTTGGACATGCAAAGGAAGAAACTGACAAATGAAATACTACTTGTGGGACCCTGATCCAATTGAGTAAGCATTATTATATTAATTGTAATAAACACTGGCCATGTCTCAAGGCAAAAGCCTGCAATCCCACTGTAATTGCATTTCTTGTGAGGCTGATGCAGGAGGATCTCAAATTCAAACTCAGCCTGGGCAACGAAATGAGGACATTTTTCCAAGTAAAGGACTGGAAATGTAACTTAATTGGAAAATACCATTAAAAAATCAAAAGTAAACACAAAAGAACTAGTGCCCACTCAGTATTTCTCTTGTTCCCCCTCTCCCGCTCCTGTGTGTGTCTGCTTGTATTTGTGTGTGTGCTTGTTTGCAATCATGCACTCATCAAAGAAAAGCCATGTCAGCAGACAGTAAGCAACCATCTGTCTATGATCCAAGAAGATTGCACTTGTGCAAAACTGAATGTGCCAGAGCCTTGATTATAAACTTCTACTTATTGTAATTGACAAAAATGATTTTTTTTTGGTATTGAACTGCACAACTCACTTACTGTATTGTTTCATAGCATTCTGAGGAGACTAATGACACTCACTTAATTGTAATAATGCTGAAAAACCCCACCTGAGTCTGCCACCTAAGGGGTTGTGCCTGTGCATCAGGGAACAGAGAAAGAAGGGGCAGTGAAAAGAGGAAAATAACAGGAAGGGGAGGGCAGAAGATACAATCTGAGAGCAGCTTGCTACAGGGGAACAACATTGGGAAGAACACAGTTCTCTTTCCTGAATTCACTAATGAGATAATTCATTCCCAGAGGAAAAAGTGAAAATGAGATAAAAAAAAAGCACTTAGGAAAAATTATGTCTCAAGACAACCACAGGGTAGTATCACCTTGCCCTTGCCATAACAACACCCATCCAGTCAGCATCTTTGAAACTGCTTTCTTTGAAAACTTGACTCTTTAACTCCTATGATCATCACATCAACTCTGTCCACTTCTGAATTCTGCTTTTTTTCTTTAGTCTCACTGACAATCTGCTTTCATCGTGAGGGACTCAGATCAAAACCAGAGTACCCTATCTGAATATTACACATACATGCGATCAGCTCTCTGCTTCTGAGTTACTATGTCAAATGTGAACATTCCAGTCACAGTGGCACATGACTCTAATCCCAGCCCACTGAAGGCAGTGGCAGGAGGATTATTATATCTGACACCAGCTTGGGCTATGTGGTGTGACCCAGACTCAAAAAAAAAAAAAAAAAAAAAAGTAAACTTGATGACATCAGTCTCCTTCTTAAAATACTTTATTTGCTTTGATTTAAATAACACAGACTCCAAGGTATCACTTTCATACCTAGAGGCTTTTGTATTTTAACCCCCTAAAGGGAGAGGAAAGGGTGCTATACAAGCACTAATTAAGAGCCTATTTATGCTAGGGAATATTTGTAGGTCTTCAAATCTGAAATTTGTATAAAATGCTATAAGGACAAAATAAATGTATTATATAGGACCTCTGGATGACCCAAATCCTAAAAGGGAAATTTGAAAAGAGTAGGACCTACTGTATTAGCATCCAGTCATACAAAGGATCTCAGCCACCTGGGGGAGCCTAGTGTTCTTCCTCTCTCACCAATTTCCCTGAGCCCCTGTCTGGGTGCCACAGGTATCTCCATGTTCACTTTTGCCTGAGCTCTTTTGTGACCCTCCCTGAATCTACTCCAAGGGACGCTTTTGTGCCTTGGCAGATGGAGATTCTTCTGAGACTCCGATACCATACTCCCTCCCACGCCATCCCACACTGTGATCTGTCATTCCCTTCCCACAAGCAGAAACCCCACCCACTACCCACTTCCTTCTCAAAAAACCCCACAGCATCCCACAACCTCATGCCACTCTCAGGGTTTTTCATTTCCCCTTCAGCTCTGCTTCATCTTTCTCTCACATTTGCATCTCTAATCTGTTTTCTCCTCTGTCCCATCTACAACAGTGGAAAGGGCCCAGCCAGATCACCAAAATCAGTGCTTCACCAGACTGCTTGCTGTGTACCCTGAAGTGACTGGATTGGTAGAACTTGACAGTCTCTAATTCCATTTCAAATTTCAAAATCCTTGATTTGATCTGTGCTTTTCTGCTTTTCCGTATGTAGAATCTTTTCTTTCTCTTCTATGCTACCATGTTCTCATTTCTTATTTTTGTATGTGTTCTGATACAGTTCTCATCTTTTATCTGAGTTCCATGGGTTTCCTTTCTATCTCACATCAGTTGTACCTAAACTTCCTACCCATTTATACTAAGGACCACTCTCACTGTAAATAAATTTTGAGACATCAAATATTGTCTTATTACTCAAGCCTTAGATTTTTGTAAGTAAATATATA